TCTTAGACATTCAGCTGAGCCTCAGCTACGGCATAGCTGGTGGGCGTATTCTAGATGCGACATATTTCAAGGTTTCCGCGACAGATTACTGCACTTGAAGGTTTGCAGATCGAATCTCGTTAAATACCGGCCAGGACCACATAGCATCAGCATCTCTCCATCTCTCCATCAAGCTCATCATCCCTATCATCTTCATCATAAAAAATGCACTTCTCTACCTTTCTAGCCATCTCGGCTCTGTTGGAGTTGGCCGCGGCGGCAACATGCCCCGCGTCAGGACCCCCAGTATACCCCAGGGCCACGGAGAATAATACCGCCTTTATCCCCTTCATCAACAAGTTTCCTGACATCAACACCACGCCCTCACTTACATTTACGGTCATGACCAAAGACTTGGAGACGCTTAAAATGAAGGCGGTGACCATCAAGTCTGCCGGCATGGACACCGGCTCCACCGGCGTCATGATCGGTGCCGGCGTTCTCGGTTTCGACGCGAAAACACAGTTCGACAAATCCAAGCCCGGAAACGAATATCTGTCTTCCAGCGGTAGACTGTGGCAAGGCTACTGGGTCGATGCAAACCTCACTTTCCCCGCAATGGTGGATGAACGCACGATTGGCGAAGATGTCGTTGCCTCCGTTCCTATCCTGATCGTCACCGAAGCCAGTATCTGCCGCGCATGGAAGACCCAGGGCTCCTGCACGGAAGCGCAGAAGTCCAACATCACAATGTACCCCAAGGATATCCACTACATGGGTGTTGGCTTCGGTAGATGGAGCAGCGAGCAGCCCGATGCCCTGCCTGACAAGGTGTCTCTGATCAACATCGCGTCTATCGGCGGTCGACCTGTGAAGAGTACGATTCACCAGGGCTACGTTCTGGGCAAAGATGGCGTCGAGGTTGGTCTCACGAGCGAGAACACCGAAGGATTCTGCAAGACGCAGCTCGACGTCCGATCCGGATCCAACTCCACCATCGACTGGAACATGGTGAACATGGCCATCAAAGTTAACGACTCGCCCTACGACCATGGCCCAGCTCTTTTCGACACTGGTATTCCCCAGGCGTTCCTTCGGGTTAACAAAGACGTCAGATCGCACTTCAAGAATGTCACATCCAAGGCTATCAAGACACACCCTCAGGTTGCTGCCAAGGGAACCGTTGTGGTGGTTCACATTCCCAACGAGAAGAACCCCATTGCGACTTACAACGTCACTGCCCAGGGTGCGGGTAAGCCCAATCCAGCAACAATGCAGCCCTTGGGATTCGTTCTAGAGGATCCACCCGTGGCACCCAACGTGCCTTTCATCAACACTGGCAGGATGTTCTATAATGGCTTCGACGCCCTCTTCGATTCCGCTTGTGGCTGGTTTGGATTGGCGGAGCTCGAAGAGACTAGCGCAAAGAGGGTCAAGAGGGCTACTTGCCCGTCCTAAAATTGAGGAAGATGCGTCTTGTATTTTAGTCTGTTAGAGCAATGTCTGAGCTAGGTTTTCAATAGAAAGTAGTAATACATTTCACTGAAGATTTATCCAAGTTGCAATTCCTTCTAAGAATGAAGTTGGGCAGAGCTTTTCATGCCGTCCAAGCGGAAGCCCCAGATCTGCCTCAGTGAACGGGGTAGTACGCTTGGCCAATTGTTGACTAGTCACGCCGTGGCCACGATCATCCACGCACGGGGACGATATTCGTGAAACTAGACTCTTCAACCAATCAGGGCCTCGAAAGCCGATTATCAACGTCCTTCGTTCTCATCGGACTCCGTCCGAGGGACCCTAGGACTATCTTTCAGCAATTCCAAGCCTTCTGGAAAATCCCTGATCCTTCCGTCATCATCCCACAGAGCAGCGAGGACCTGGCGCTGCCCCTTCCACGGCTTGCGGGAGTGCATCACGGCGTAGTTCTGTGGGGAGCGCCTCTCGTGTCAGCCACATCGTGCTAGCGTCACAAATCCCACAGGCAAATACTCACATCAAGAAGCACCAGATCTCCCTTCTGCCACTCGACATCTACGGCACCCTCTTCCGCAAGTTTCAGCAGCAGGTCCAAGTCCTCAACATCGATGGGCGTATCGTCGCCATATGTCGGAGGAGGATGATACGACCCGTCATCGCCGCGGAAGGGAGGTCTTGTCGCACCATGATGGCGACTACGGCCCCAGGCGGAGGTGACATTACCGAAGAATACAGTTGCCCCTGTAGGATCATGGATGCGAACGGCTTCGCCATTGTGTCAGTCTGTGGCCCAGTGAGGCATTTGGTCTAGAACTGGCAGAAGGATTCCTTCATAACTTACCAGGGACAATATGCGTCACGCTCAAGCTACCGTCGTCGTGCCACTCGAATCGGTTGCTGTGGCGTCGAACTTCAGCCTCTATCTTGCGTCGGGCCGCGGCTTCGTCATCTTCGTCTCTGACCTCCTGACCGTAAGCGCCACGAACGCTCGTCCCGGTGTTGGAGACGAGTGGCTTGGTTGTGTAGCGATAGACGTATTTTACACCCTTGTTCAGAAGGTTCGAGAGGAACTGAGGCTTGAGACGTGACAACTTATGAGCAATGTAGATAGCTGAGGTGATGGGTGTAGCGCCGCCTGCTTTGTGGTTAGTGCCGAGGCTCGTAACTAGCTATGCTATGCTTCAGAGCATACCGGATTCTGGAATTTGGAGTGCACTGAAAGTCAGCCACGATGGGTTGATTGTGGACCAACCATATTCGCTATGGGGCCAAATTGGCAGTTCTGGTGGACTACTTCACGTCAGTCCACCTTACTTCATGGAATTCGAATGAGAAGACATCGCTTTGCTCTCGGGTATTTGAGTAGAGATCGACGCTGGGAGTCGTTTGCATCTTTACTACTTACCCCTCGTTTGCTGTCTTGACATTAGGAGCCAGAATGGTCCGCAGTGGCGGACGTCCAACCTCTACATGAGGACGGAAGCCAAATGCGTGCGCGACCTTGCTATAGTCGTGAGGTGTTTCTATCGGGAGGCCACGAATAAGAATCGCTCCCCCATGTTGTTTGATCAGACTGCTCAGGTTCCCAGATTGGGCGAAATTATTGATCGCATGAATGCTTTCGGAGAGATTGAGGGTCTTGCTTGCTTTAAGCCCGAGGGGAAAGCTTGCCGACCACGGCAGCCCAAAGTCGGCGGTGTCCTGCTGACTCGGAACATCAAAAGCCTCAAAAGGTAGCGAAGGCGACGCGTTGTGAACTTGAGATCCTTGTTCAGTGCCCCTAACAGTGGTTTTGGGGGTTTGGTCTACTGCAATTGCGGCCATGGTAGGTGGTCGACTCGAGTCAATGTCGGGGTCTCTAAGAAGGATGAAAGTTGGAAACCAGAGGAATGATGATGGCTCTGGCACGTCGCATACTCCTCTGCGAAAGCGAGTTATCAAAGCGCTGCTCTCGAGCCTCGATGGTCTTGTAGGAATCTTCGATTCTTAGATCTGAGTGGAGGCTGGTCCCGCATGGCGTGATGAGAGCTTCCCGGCGTCAAGACGTTGACGCGGAGCCGATAACGGTGGGCAATCCCCAACAGCACAAACAGTTTTCCGATTTCGGATAACCGCATTCCCATTAAGCCAGCTATCAGGGCTGTGAAGGCGTCCAATAATGATACAACTTGAAGTTTTCCTGCTGAAAAGACATTGCTGCTTTTACCTTTCCTTTGCCGTATTATCAGGGAAGAAAACAAGAACCTCAAGATTACTTGAGATTGGAGTCTGCACATCCACAACTTCTCCGACCATAAGAGATCAAAGATACGCATGTATAGCACTGAAACAGTGCATAAAGCCCTCTGAAATTGGTCTTTGCAAAGAATTTGCTCGGAAATACTGAGCGGGAACAACGGTGTTCAACTACGCCATCGCTTATCGGCATGTCGTGATCAATCAGGTATGCCTAAGCTCCCCAACTAGAGATTTGGGATGTGTGGGGCTTTGTCTAGTAACGAAATGGGGACAATTCTTTAACACAATATGATTCTACCTAATTACTACAGCAATACAGATTAGGCTTTGGCCTAGCTCATAGAAATGTCGTACGTTGAGCCATAGTTCAATCTATTAGAACACTACCTTAGCCCTGTAAAGTTTGTGCAGACGTTCCTACATGGCTTGAACTCGGTAAACAGTCAAAATGCATGGCGTCGTCAATGTGATTCAAGTATGAGAAGAGTTTCTAGAGATATCGGCCATATGAATGACGAGACATTTCGAAAGACGCCTGTTGCAGAGACTGAGAGTCAAGAAGGAAGTAAGACTCGCCTATTCTCCCAGCCTCTATAACAACAGAATTTAACTCATCTCTCCTTCTCCGGGCATCAGGTGTACGTTTCCTCGATGAAACAAAAGTGAGAGCAGAAAACTATGTATTTTCATCCATGGAAACCTCGGATAAGCCATTAGTAACCTGCACAGCTTCCTCTGCAGCCTCGCCGTAATTAGAAGCTCACCATAGACTACACGTAGCTCATGACACGTAGGGATAATAATCATAGTCATAGAGAATGAGAATAGGCCACCTCTCATGACACCGAAAACCTGAGTCGGGCCTTACGGGAGTTGAGTACGCCCGCTCAAATGAACGACTCAGGTCATAAGCTCCGTTTCGCTTTCCGGTGCGAGCTCATGAACCCCGACATTGATGGGGCTGTGAAATCTATTACAGTTCGCAAGTCATGGTCTGCCAGGAAGTCTCATCATACCAAAACTCCTACCAACTAACTCATACGCCCAAAATAAAGTTAAAGTAGGAATAATAGACTGCTTACTTTAGATTAATTCAACGTTAAAAGCCCCATTTACATTCCACTCTGACGTTCGATGACCCGCACGCGTACGGAGGTGGGGAGATATGACTTTACACAATTTGGCCTGATTGATGGTATAAAAGCCACTAGATGCCCACCTTCCAGAATATATGTGATCCCGTTCTTCCCTACTCAAGCAACCGAGATCTGTCTACTACTCCTCACAATCCATTAAACTCGCCCAACATGCGCTTCAACGTCATCTCCGTCGCCGTGACCGCCCTGGCCTTCTTCTCGCAACAAGCCTTAGCACAAGAGGCTTGCCAGAGCACGGCAGACTGCATCCAAAACTGCGGTGGCTTTGCGGACAAGTTGTGCCGGTGAGTTGTCCACTCGATGCTCTTGGCATTGCATTGGCAACATGAGCTTACCAATCTCCTCCTCAAGTCTCCCTGGCAATATCTGCGAGTGTGTTCCGTACTAGACGTCAGGATATTCCTACGGAAAATCAAATTTCAGATAGCATAACCCTGAGATTTTGATGCCAGAATCGAGGAACTATAGAATGTTACGTATCAGTGTCTCGTGCATTTGACGCATTAAGAAAGCTTCTGAGGAGGCGTGTACATCAAGCGATGACATTACATCAATCTGATTCTATCATTCAATAACCATCTGCGACATTTCAATATGTTATAGTTCTCAAAGAATATTGAGAGCAATTGGAAAATACGATGAGAGTGTTAAGTATTCTTTGTAAACTCCCTGTGGGCTGCTGAATCACTTGTGAAGTTTTCTGCGAGCCCAGTCTAACGAGTCTCTCGCTGTATTGCATCTCAGAACAGACAGAATAAGATAATGGTAATCTTTGCGCAAGCCTAGAGTGATTAAGATGTCAGATTTGCTGCCGAAGGTTCTCCACGTAAGACAGTTATGCGTGTTGTCCTAGGTGCCTTCATGAATGTCACGATGCCCTTAATCCATCACATACGACCATACCCATTGGAAAATTCGGGATCCCGTCCGCTCTCCCATAGACAAGCCAATGAGGGCCGGATTAGTAGTTGGGTCGGTGACGACCAGCGAATACCTGGTGTTGTATGTTTTTGATTTTTCTTGAATTTTGGTCGATATTTGTGGCTCCGCGGAAGGTGGACCTGTGGGTCTTTCTACTTTCAAGCCTATGCAGACTCCAAAGACGTTAGAATGGGGGCTGGAGTACTCCGTATGGATAGGCGCCTTTTGATCTTCTCGTTGAGAATTTGAAAGCCTCAGTCCATGGCTGTGATAGGTATTGTGCGTCCTTGAACGTAGTGAGGCTGGCGTTGCGGCTTGCCAAAGTTTCTAGAAATTTGCACAAACATAACACCTAGATGGGGCAGCTGACTGAGAACTTTGAAGGTCTGAGAGTGAAAGGGAAACCCCTTATGCTTGAAATGAGAAGAAAACACAAGCAAGCTCCAAAAGCATACTCTTTACATCTCCCCCAGGTGTAGCGAATCGTTACTGAACGTATTCGCCGTGGAAGGCTGGCTAACGGAAAGTGACTATGGTGACTATTAGTATGAACGTCGGCAGTAAGTATCATACCGCATTCTTATCTTTTTCATACCCCAGAGGGCATGCTATTGAGAATGTTTGTGGTCTCGGTGATAGCTATGGGTCGACACCTGAGTACGAGCGTCTGCCTTCTCATCCCGTCTGTCGAAGACCCATGCCCCCAACCTCTCACCAGCTCAAACCAATAACAAGTTCCGACGGAGAAAACGTTGGACAGTGCTGACTCCACTCTATCCAAGGACGTCTCGGTCCAGGCCCTTTGTCGTCCTGCTCTTGTCCCCACCAGACAGACGCCAGACGGAGCGGAACCCGAAGCCCGACTCGTTGAGCGGATATCTGAGTCGACTGAACTCGAAACCCTTGTACATCTCACGGTCGAGTTCCTTTTGGTGGTGTGAGTCCTCGATGAGACAACCCCTCGCTCATGCCCGAGGAGCACGAGCCATACGTCTCAAGTGACACAGCAGATAGCCCATCTTTCTCTATCGATGCACGATAGGTAGGTCAACGCTCACGATGGCGTTTCCACCTTCAGTCTCTTTTGCCTCTCAGTCCTCTTGTGCCTGGCTCGAGATTTCCTCATTCTTGATCTGAGGCAAATCGGGACTTTTACTGACTTTGATGCGAAGACTTCAACATCTTCAGGTGCCAAAGTCAGTACCTGACCACGCGCGCACGGGTTTCGTCCGTGTTTCTAAGGATTCCTATTTGGCGATGGTTGAGTACGAAGAGCCACCGTCCAAACCAAATCTTCGAAGCACATGCGATCCTGGACCGGGGTGACGCGATGGACTTCGGACGTGGAGGTAAGCAGACCATCAGCGTATCATGTACTCATGCCTACGGCTACTTCGTCCAGCCACTGGGATGAGGCAATTCAAAGATTGCGGTTCCGTGACGTATCAGTGCTTCATTTGAGATATACGAGCGCATCGGAGGCGGTAATATGTTCACTCCCAGATGAAGGCGTCGACTGGGCGTCAGCTTCGTGATCCTCAAACCGAGCCTATTACATATGGCGGCTAGAAACATCTGTTTGGTGATTGGTTGGTTTGAATGACGGGACTAGACGTTCACTTTGCCAAGGTGGTGGTTGCATATTACAGTCGTGACCAAGTGTCATTTCGAGCTTTCGTCTGCATCTAAGTCTCTCCCCAAGATTGCTAGGTTCAGCGCGTTGCAGTCGGTCGATTACTTGGACGAAACCATGCGGTAGCGGCACGATGGTCAAGTGGCAATATCACATTTATGAGAGTCATGTATTTTAGAATCCTTTCTCTTCAGAAGAATGCAAGGCCTCCAGAAAGTCAACTTTGCGAAGACCGTACTAATAATAAAGAGAAATAGCCTTCAATCCGGAACCCCCTCGTCGTTGCGCCCATGTCTTTTTTGGTCCTCTAGTGGTGTTTGGTTTAGGGGGAGAGGGAGATGCAGCCAGCGGAGCTGTCCTCCTGGAAGATGCCACCGTAGATGATACCCTCGTTGATGCCGGTGGGCTGGTCACCGCTCTTGGTGATGTCGGAGCCACCGTTGACGGGCTTCTTGAGCATACCGAAGTGGTACTGGCCCTGGCCGGCAATGTTGTTGGTGACAGCGGCGCCGGTCGACTTGAGGGCGGAGTTGCCCTGGGAGTAGAAGACCTCGGTGGTGCTGAAAGTCATGTTAGCGACCAGGCATAGAGAACAGAGTTGGGAGGTAGAACATACTTCTTGGTGAAGTCGAGCTTAATTGCAAAGTTGTGGAAGACACCGGCAGTGAACTTGGTCTTGAAGAGCTCGGGGACGGGGCTGGAGTTGACGTTGCCGAAGAGCTGGAGGGTATCGGGGTCGGCGGTGTTCTGGCCGAGAATGGTACCGGTCTTGAGGACGACCTGGTTGGTGCTGAAGTCGGCGCTCTCGAGGAAGACGAGCTGGTACTCGTGGGACAGGTTCAGGGGACGCTGGGCATCCTTCTGCAGAGAGAAGTGCAGCGTCTTGATGCCCTGGGTCGAGGCGTCCTTGCCGTCGTTGCTGAGGGGCAGCATCTCGGCGCGGCGGAAGCCGACCTGGACATTGGTCTCGCTGGGGGCGAAGATGGACTTGTCGTTGATGGTGACCTCGAAGGGCTGGGTGGAGTTGACATCGAACTGGGGAATTGGGTGTTAGTTCAAACGCTTTCCGTAGACGACAATCCGGGAACCCAATCTGGTTCCGGACTGCTTCGCTCTCATATCAAAACTTACCAGGGAGTTGCCGCCAGGGAGCTGGACAATCTCGCTGAACTTCAGGCCCTTGCCGAACACGTTGGCGGTGTTGAAAGGGCTGGAGGTGCTGTCGAAGTCGGCAGCCTTGAAGGTCTTGGGGATGCGGCCATCGAACTGGAGGGCGCACTGGGCCTTGGCACCGGGGGAAACGGCGCCGGTGTTGTTCTTGGGGGTGGTGCCGTCGCAAGCGGCCGCGGCGGCGGCGACGAGAGAGAGAAAGATGGTAGAAGCGAACATTGTTCCTAGGCCGGCTACGAGCGGGTGTATTTTTGTAAAAAGAGTGTGGTGATTTGGAAATAAAGCGTCCAGATGAGACGAACGGAAAAGAATGTGAAAAGAACGTGAAAAGATGATCTACAGAAACTCAGAAGTCCGAGCAAGAAGGGATACAAGTTAAGACGGTGGGAACAGTTGACCATTTGTATGCCCACCACGGTCCCACGAATTGACCAGCATCGTCTGATCTGATCTGCCTTCCTCTGGGTGTCTGGCACGCGATTCCGGAATTTGGCTTTGGGTTTCGACATCCCGCAGTGGCTACCTCCTTCCAAGCTCTCCGCCCACCGTTTAGCGCTGCCCCTTACTCTCCAGAAACTTTTGAGTGCTGTCTGGGATTGAATGGGGTTCACTTGCAAGTTCCGTGTCATGCCCCCTTGGCATCTGTAACTCGGCGCGCCTCGTCAGCCTGAACCGTGCTGCTGGGTAAACTTGCAGTGATTTGGTGCTCCGTAGCTGTAGCCCTCTTCTCCTAGACGCAGAGAGAGGCAAGGTTACACCCCGTCAGAACCCAAATAGAGTTTCCCGCTGATTCAGTTTCGGAACCACCGCCCCGTTCGGGGTTGGGTGCACGGAGCTCAGGTCGGCCAGCCTGGGGAGAAGCCTGGGAGAGAACTTGCAGCGAACAAATCCAGCGGCGGAGGTCTGCGGGCGCGAGTCGTGTTAGATTGCCAGTGCCTGGTTTCCACGAAGAGCCTCGCTGAAAGTCCTAAAAACTCCGGACCTCCCGGCATCAACTGGGCACCGAGTCCCTCGCGCCACGTGGAGGAGTTGCAAAGCCGCAATATGGCGATGCCCCTGATATTAAGGGGATATTGGTACCAAGACAAAGTCTCTGCGCCCGGATTCGTTGGCTAAATAGCATCGTCGTTGCGTTCGTAGATCATTGCTTGCGTAATCTGGTGATGGGGTTCTCAATGGGGCCTGAGGTCCCGCACGATGCCGTCCGGTCACAGTCCGGATAGTTCAGGCGGAGTTTTATGACGAGATGGAACAAAGTATGTCTCCCAGTGGGCAGTTGCAAAGACTAAGTATAAACTGTTCCATGTGCAACTCCGCGACTGACAAACCTCAAACTTGGCTCAGAGCCCTGATACGCAGATCCCCTCTGCATCTCCAGCGTTGTTAACAAAGAACTCAAGAAAGTGTCCGGAGATGCCCACGAAACGTTCTCTTCAGACGGAAGAATAAACGAACACATCGGCCAATTGATCGAAAGTCGGCGCATGTGCAGGCGCAAAAACTCTCCCACTCTTTTCGTAAAGCCGAGCCGGCGGGAGGGAAATCCACAATCATATATTCAATGTTTCCAATATCCGCCAGCGGTTATTAACAGTGAAACTCTATATCGCCAAGGCTAGTCTGAGACGCCCTAACATAGCGACGATATCACCCTTCTGGCGACC